TATCACTGTTTTTGTTGTTGGTGTTTTTATTGGCAGGAGCAGGTAGTGCAGGAGGGGCATTTGGTGCAGCCGGTGCAGCCCATGAAGGAGGAGGAGTCGTAGCGTGGGCAAAACGGTGGGCAGCAAAAAAATTGGGTCCACTTTTCAACCTTGTAAAACTGCTGCAACAACATGCTAGAATCATTCTGCTGGTGGTTGTTTTCTACTCAATGCTACTGTTGTCAGTTTATCTCGGAGTAGAAATGGCTGGGACCCTCCTCTTGTCTCTGGGAATGATATCACTGTTTTTATTGTTAGGGTTTTTATTCTTCCAAATGGAATCTTAGCCCCAGGCCACACTGTGTGTGTGCGTCCAGCTAAATGAGGAGGACAGTGTCATACATTAAAAATTAATTGTGTGATTGTTGTGCAACTCATGCTGTTCAAATGACTTTTTAAAGACTTCTGTTTTAAACAGCAGATAATATGAAGGCTCCACATTTTTTATTACATTTCTTTGTATAATTGCCATTAATCGCACAATTTAACGTATTTACCATCGGTTGCATTTTAATAAGCTTCATGCACATTCACACTATATGTGATTATTTGTCCAATCTGGGATTCATCAAATGTATATTCAAATCAATTTTACTTCTATCAGTATTCATCTTTTACAAAAACTAATTATTTTCTACTTGATTCCTTCATTTTATTTTCTTTTATTTTTTTATTATTATTTTTTAGCTTTTTCAAACTGATTTCAGTTGATGCAGTAGGACTGTTTATTGAAACTGTTATTAAAATAAAATAAGCTTTACTTATTGAATGTAAGCCTAATGACACAAAATGTTGTTTTTTGTTTGTTATTTCATAGTGTCATAATATTTTGGCAAACCAAATAAGTAACTGCTGTGCATTCAGGCAGCTCTTATAACTGTCCACTACTGCAAATACAGTCGATAGATATCTCTGCAAAACTTCCCATAGCAGAAGAAGCATTCAGGTTGATTAAAAAACTGCTGTGTTTTCCCAGTCTGCTAGTCATCACACATCTTGTAACTTGGTTCACTTTTCTGTTCACGTTTGGTGGACACCAAACACTACATGTCATCACCACTGTGAGCATGGAGGCGGCAGCATCATCATGTGGGGATGTTTCTTGGCAGCAGGCTCTGGAAGGCTTGTAAAAGGAGATTAAACAGATGCAGCTAAATATAGGCAAGTCCTGGAGGATATGTTAACTAAGTTTTAATAATCGCAGACCATAAAAGCAGATAAATCCCATTTTGCTTTTATCTGCTATGAGGTTATTAAAACTTGGTCCTGTACAGGCAACATTAGTTCATGTGGTGTCTGGAGGACCTGCAGATTGAGGGAGTCTCTGTAAATTGCATTTGTCAACCATTGTAGCTTGGCTTGATTTTCTCTGCAGTAATTGTGAGCATGATCTGAGCTTTTGTTTTCTTTACGTGGTTCTCATTGAGTTGACATGATGTACTTACCCATCAAAAAGAGCAGAAACACATTCTTCTGCATCTTCAGATAAGTTTCTCCTGATGTGTTCAGAGCAAAAGAATATTTTGAGTCAAAGCAGCCATAATGGTGGTTCATTACTGAATTAAAATGTCATGCATGATATAATCCATTGGGCTGGGCAATAATAATAACTTTTGTAGACGCCAGTATCGTGCAATAAAACATGAAATACTTTTTCTGTCTGTCGACTTATGATGTTGTGCTTTTGCTGGCACCACTACAACGTTTTTTATTTTTCCCCCTGCCTTGCATTACGCTTTCAAAGTCAAGGATGTATTATGTTTAACACCAGAAATAGATTCTTTCACCAGACAGAGCAAAAACATTTCCACATATCGTTGTCTTCCTTAAACCAGACAGAAATGTATATATACCTTGGAGACAGAAATATGAAAATGCACAAATGTAGAGAAATACTCTGGTTTTGTGTGTGCAGTATATTTGTGCAAGTTAAATTTAAAATGAACCTACAGAAAGCTGAAATAATTTGGCAAGTACTGATGTTGCCAAACCGAATTGGAAAATGTTTTCTGAAGTTTAAACATGTATGCGTGTGTTCATATTTATAGTAAGTTTGTGACGAGATAATAAAACTTTAATGTGAAACAAGGAGCAAACAGTGATATTCTTCCAAGTCCAGTGTTCTGTTGACCCATTAANACCCTAGTGAGGATTAAGCAGTGTATAGATGATGGATGGATATAAGGTTCCACTTTGACTAATCTGATTGAAAAGCTAAATGATAAAAAGCTCTCTTTTATTATAAGACTGTTTTGCAACAATTGCACTGTAGTTATCGATCTGATCAGCAGCTGCATAGCAGTGAAATGATTGGTGCATGTCTGTACATACAAAACAAGCCCAGAATACTAGTGGGAATTTACTTCTAAACTACTAAAACACTGACATTTTTCAGTGTCTTCACTCAGGCACTCATTAAAATGTCTGAAACTGGGCACATTGTAGATTGTTTTTTTACTTACGTTATATTTTTCTGACTTTGAGTTGCAGTAAAACTGCAGAGGATGCCATCTTTTTCTTCATGGGAACACTGGCATATTGAGTCCAGTAATATTTTCGAATGTGTGTATTGGCAGAGTGACAACAGTTATGAAAAGAAGTTAAAGCTCTGCCTTCTTTTCTTGTAATTGCATTTTACAAATTCTGATGGCTGCACCTTTTGATAATGTTCAGGGTGGTGACTGTGGCTGGGAAAGGACAGGCTGAATGGAAAGTTTTTCTTAATCACTCTATTATGTTAACTATTCTATTATTCTATTGTTGGCAGCTATTTTCAGCTTCAGGCCATATAACCAGAACGACAGGTCGACACAGTTTTATACGTGTGTGCATGGCCTTGTACGGCTGTGTTCTCTCAGAGCATTAATAAAAAGGTGAGAAAAATAGAAATTCTTAGTTTGAAAACTGCCGATTGCTGTAGATTGTATTGCAGCACAAATGAAACAAATATGGCTGTTTAACTGTCGAGTGCTTTATTATAAGATATCATTTTAATAACAAAACAGGCATATTATTATTGGGGGGGGAACAGCTGAAAGTCACCTTTCAGCAACTCAAAGGCAAATAAAGTTTTGTACATGATAAAAAAAAATGAAGACATTTTGAACTATAACAGCATTTCCTTGTACTAAATTACAGATAAAGATGATATTATATTATTTTACTGTTTTCAAATGAGCAAAAAATCAGATTATTTGACAAATATTGGTCATTATTTGAAAAAAAAAAATGTATGTGAGGACTGACAAATGGCAAACATTTAAAATATTTTTAACTGTAATGTCATAAACAGTTTACTGTGATTTTCAGAGTTTCCCTGCTTTGTTTTTTGTTGTTGTTGTTGTTTGTACAGACAATATAATAAACAGGCCAAAGCTGTACATTATGTCAAAAATCTTCTTGTACAATATGAGGTTGTTTTTTTTTTGCTACTAAGTTATCAAATATTATCATATAATTAACAAAAGTCAATATATCTTGTAATAAATGCCCTTTACCTTCCACAGGTAGAGTTTATACAGTTTAACACAAACAACTTATAAAGTCTTTTCATCATAGTCTTTATTAAGTCTTTGCGTAGCTGACAATGTGAAAGAAAATGCAGATACACACACACACACCTGTTTAACTGAGTCACTCTCAAATAAATGCAAAACCCCCTCATTGTCTTTAACCTGTATTTTCCATTCTGATTACCCCAGATTCATTACAAAACTAACACCATGTCATCAACTGCATATTTTCTGATTTGCTTTGATAGTTTTACCCACAGCTTCGGTTAATGTTACTGTTTTTACAAGCATTAAGCGACCTGGCAGAATGTAAAGTAGTTAAAATGAATCCTTTCTTAACTGGCTGCAGCATTAGTGATGCTTCCTGCCTTCATGCACCAATGATCCGTTAATAAAATACACATTGTTCTGAATCAGGTCATTCTGCAGAAGGAGTACTTTTACTTTAACTGCTTTATTTTTGATGCACAAGCAACGATCAAGCATCAACTATCTGCTCTGCTCGTATCATCTTTTTGTTTTTTTTGGCTCCTCTGCACCCCCTGGTTTTTGGGTCCAGTAAGCCTTAATGGTTTTCTCTACGGCTTCCACTGGAGATGTTGCTTCTTCAGATGCACCATATCCTATCCAAGCTCCCTTTATTGCCCCGCTTACAGCCTCCGATGGAGCTGATGCGGGTGACATCACCTTCTCCACCACACCCAGCAGGGCTCCTAACACCACGCCAGCTGCAACACCTGCAAATCTGATCTTCCATGTTTCAAATACACTCATTTTAGCCTTATTTCTAATCTCTTCCTGTGACATGCCTCCTGATGACTGTCCAATGTGCTCTTCCTCTTTTCGCATTTCTCTTTTCACCTCTTTTAGCATCTCGTTGGTGTAACACTGGCCGTTGTTTGCCTCAGTTATCTTGTCTACTGTCCTGAGTAGCTCTGCCACTTGGAACCGATTGTTCCTGTAGCGATCCCCTTCGTCGTTTTTCCAGTATTTATTATCAACCACGTGGCATCGGCCTCCACACTCCTTCACCAGCTCGCTCAGGCCTTTGTTCTGAGCGACAAAGTCCTCAATCATCATTCCCTCTGGGAGCTGGTCACCATGACTGAAGACAACTGCGGCATATCTCAGGGCATCTTCAGAAAAAGACTGGCGTATTTTTTGGATCACACCTTCTTCCTGCTTGGTGAATTTCTCCACTTTGAGCACGATGAGGAAGGCATGAGGTCCAGGGGCGCACTCAGTGATGCACCACAGCATCTCATTCTTGATCAGCTCCTCAGATCCACATGTGTCGAAGAAACTGGGAGGGTCGATCAAAGTGATGTTTTGTCCACCGATGCGTTTGGTTTGTGCGCTGGACGGAGCCTTTTCAGTGACGGCCAAATGGTTTATCTTGAACACCTCCTCTCCCAAGATGGTGTTTGCCAGGCTGCTCTTTCCAGCTCCTGTTTTTCCCAGCAGGACAATCCTCCTTGAAGCCAGCACTAGAAGAGAAGAATGTATGAGTAGTTAACATTTCAGCTTCTTCACCTATCCTGAGAAGCACACAAACGTCCATCCATCCATTATCTATACACTGCTTAGTCCTCACTAGGGTCGCAGGGGGCTGGAGTCTATCCCAGCTGACTCAGGGTGAAGGCAGGGGACACCTGGACAGGTCACCAGTCTATCACAGGGCTACACTTAGAGACAGACAACCAAGCACACTCACATTCACACCTACGGACAATTTAGAATCACCAATTAACCGCAGCATGTTTTTGGACTGTGGGAGGAAGCCTGAGAACCCGGAGAGAACCCACGCTGCACGAGGAGAACATGCAAACTCCACGCAGAAAGATCCCGGTTGTCCTCATCGGGACGCAAACCGACAACCTTCTTGCTGCGAGGCAACAGTGCTAACCACCGACCCACCTTGCAGCCCGCACACAAATATGTGATACGGAATTTCATGGCATCCCATAGCTGTTGAGATATTTCATTTTGGACTGAAACCAGACCATCAGACCAACACTACTGATCCCATATTCATGTTAACCCTATTCAGGACTTTTGGGGTCTTTTGGACCCCAGGCCATTTGGTTTAGGTGACAGGTGTTGTTTTTACTATTTGAAGATTTTTTTAAATATAAAAAGAGGGACATTTGTCATGCATTTGGAACCAAAAATACATCAAGTTATCAGAAAATGTATTTAACAAGTCTGTAATGAATACCAAGACCCCATAAGACCTTCTACAAATGGCAACATGAAAGTCCTGAATAGGGTTTTTTTTAAAAAAAAGGCTTTGATCAATCAGTTATCAAGAATGTTTATTCAATAACAAGTTCATCTTCACTTCAACTGTTTGTACATTTTGACGACGCTGGCTTGTTGAGTTTCACGTTAGAGTGACAATTTAAACAATTTAAATTTAGATGAAACATAATTGTAATTAACTGAGAGCCTGACTAATATATCTGCAAACAACCTCAGCTTTGCATCAGTTTATTTATCATACCAGCCATCTGACGAGCCCTGTTTTGTATTCAAACTCTTATTTCTTATTTTTATATTAAATGAAGTACAGTATGTTGCTGAGTGTTGCTGCTGGTGACACAAATGAAATAAGCTCAACTGACCGTCCATGTTGTCAGAAGTCCTCGCCGCTGTGTGTTTTTCCTCCTGCTGGCTGGCTGCAGTTTGACTTTAACTTTCATTTTCTACCAGTCTGACTGGTTGGTTGGCCATCCCTGAACAAGGAATGACGTCGACATTCTTGCACATGATGCTGGAAGCCTCTTTGTAGTCAACAAGTGCGATGCCTCACTACAAACCACTGCTAATGAAGTTGAAGATCACATTATCCCGCCTACTGTGGATAAGTACAGGTCCACTGTCATCAGCTAAGAAGCACAAGCTCCCCTGCTGCCTTAAAAAATGTGTCGGCTGAATAATTGGTTCAAAGTCACCTGACGAGATGTGACAGTGTGAAACTAGCTCAGTTAAATGAACTGAATTTGAGAAAACAAGTTCAATAAAGATATTTAAGTTGAATCAGCTACACTCACTGTGGCGGTTACAGACAGATTTGATTTCCTTTGATTTTCTATAAGTTTCTAAAAACATTTTCTTCATTTAATATCAAAAACTTGCATCCTCAGTACTAACCGTCACCATTGTTAGATTAGTATTGATTATTATGAAGAGAAACAACCATAACTTTATTAAAGATGTAATAAAACATAGAAATGTTGAAAATAAAAAGAGAAATACAATAAAAATAGGAAATCTTTATTGTCACTATACAAGTACAATGAAATTTAAAGAGCTGTTCCTGAGGTGCACCAGCAATATACACTATAGGACATACAAGACATACATTATAAAACACAATTTAAAAACTAAATGTAGGTCTGCTAAAATAAGAGCAGAAGAGGAAAAGTCAGAAGTAGTGCTGGCAATGGTTATGATGTAATAAAGTAATGTTACGCATAATAAAATATTGCATGTGAAAATGGAATATTTCTCATGATAGGGAGATATTATAAAGGAAATTTTAAAAAATACACTTATATCACTTTGATGCAATGACTGTTGTTTTTATAAATAACTGTGACTCAACTTGACGTAATAAAAATGTCAAATCAGTTGAGGTTTACCTTAAACAATTTATTATTTATGAGTCTTCATTGAGCACTACTACATGGCAGTCTCAGCTGCATAAACAAATTAGAAAAAATAAGTTTTCAGAAAATAATGTAATAAAAGTGATTTGCAGACCAGGGCCGGTCCAAGCCTCCAAGGGGCCTTAAACGAAACATGATTTTTGGGGCCCTCCATTATGTTGATAATATTGATCAATGATCATTCACACACCTACTATAAACTTATTTCATTTTCTAATTTGTTATAACGAATACACTCGTGAAACTTGATGTGAGACTTGTTGTTAGATCGTAATCCACTGTGATAAAGGTTGTTGAAGCAGATTTGCAAACTAGCAGAAAAATCTTACTAGTAATATATGGCAAGGGTCAGCAACTCTCCCTGCTGGCCGCACAGAGAAGCAATAGATAAAACCTCAAAGAGGTGCACAGTAGCATTTACAGCATCCTTTTATATACCAGGTATGTTTTCACTCATCTACGGTTTATAATCTGAAATGGTAGTAAATTCACCTACAAGTGTGGTCTGGGATTGATTTACACTTAATATTTAAAGTGACTTGTTTACTGAGATATTGAATGTCACAGGCCCACTAAAAGCAACAAAATAAACCAAAATAAAATGCATTCAGTGTAAATTATCAACTGCTTTATTCTTGGTTTTAAATAAACTGTAACACCAAAGTACAACAAAAACTAGAACTAGAACTAAAATCACTTAACTTAAATAAATTACCTCATTAAAATGAAAATTTACAAAAACAGACAGTATTAAATACAATAAAAGCAGAAATAAACCCTTAAACAATTATGTAAATGAACAGATGTGTCTTAAACACGGTAACAAACATGGTTTAGAAATCAAATATATAGTTGAATAAATAGAGCTGAAAATGTGAAAATGGGGAGAAAAACTAAACATTTGACTTCTTTTTTGTTACTCCATATTTTTCCTCAGTCCTCCATCTTCTTAGAACCTGTTCCCAGCTTTTCTAGAGGCAAAGTCAGTTATAACATCACTGTACGAAATCTGGTGGCCAACCTACTGCCAGTCCACTCAGTGATTCTTGTGCCACGAAGAACTCAAGTAGTTCTTTATTGATCTGAGCTTGGAAAAGCTCCGTTCTTATTCCTTGTTCCTCTTTCTTTTTTCTGCTCCGGAGGGATAGGACGTCCTGTTTTGCCACACTTTGCAGATCAACCTGCTCTCCGGATGCTCTGCTCTGCAGCAGCACTGATCTCAGAGCTGAGGACCAGAACCACTACACCAGCAGGGCCTGTCTACATCATACTGAGTTTTTATACAACGATATAACTTTGATAATACATGGATCATCACTCAAACATGCAAAAAAAAAAAATGCAATCTAATTTTAATAATAAAAGTGTACACATATTTTTTTTTTTATTGACTGCTCTTGCGGGCCCCCTACTGGTGACCGGGGCCCTAAGCAGGCTCTTAGTTCGCTCATACCTCGGGCCGGCTCTGTGCCAGACAAAAAGTTCTTGTCAGTCAGTTTTTGAGACAATCTGTGTGAGCTGCGCAGCTCCGGCTCTGGAGGCGCCGCTCTGCGCAGCTCCCTCCGCTTGTCGTGAAGCTCCCTGATTACCCCCAGAAGCTCAGAGCCAAACCAAACTTCAGCGTCCTCCTCTCTGCACGTGGAAAATGGCGGAGAAGCAGCAGGGGTTTGGCGCCGACGTGGACGTCAGTCACCTCTGCTGTCCAGTGTGTCTGGACGTGCTCAGGGAGCCTGTCAGCCTCCAGTGTGGACACAGCTACTGCAGAGGCTGCATCGAGGGATGCTGGGACCAGAACAAGGACCAGGACCAGCTGAGCTGTCCTCAGTGCAGAGAGAGCTTCTCAGCCAGGCCTGTCCTGAAGACCAACACCGTGCTGGCTGAGGTGAGGCTCCTGCTCTCACTTCACATCATTCCTGGTGCACTGACTGACACATTCTTTTCTGCTTTAATGAACAGTTTTATTCACATATAATTGAATATTATAATTTTGTTTTGAGTTTTAGCTGTAAGACTTTGTAACTTTAAGACTTTGTTGAGTGAAACTCCAACCAAAATCTCTAATAAGTTTAATTTGCTTCAAATTTGCATCGATATCTTTGTGCAGTGAATCAGGTTCTCTGCCAACAGCCGTCACTTCAGGTCAATACAGTCGTCCTCAGATTTATTCATCTCCTTCCATTAAAGAAAAGGCACAATTCACAATCGTCACTAGAAACTGGAAAAAGTAATGATAAAAACAAATTTGCTAAATTATAATTTAGAGAAGTAAGACATTTGCTTTTGAATTGTGGTTGAAAAGAATAATTTAAAAAAACAAACAAAACTGCAACAACAACAACAAAATATTAGTTTACGGGTCCCATCATGCTTGTTTGCTTGTTTTATTTTTTTTATTTTTTATTTTTTTTAATGTTTCTGTTGAACCACAATTCAAAAGCAATGTCATGATTTTCATAGATTTTTTAAAATTTATTATTACTTTTGTCAATTTCAGCTTATTTCAGTGACAGCTCTTTGTTTCCTTCTTTAATGGGAGGGCATGAATACATTAGAGGACGACTGTATGTGCATCATGATGATGCTACAGATCTGGTTGCAGACATTTTTTGCAACTATTTTAGAAATTCTTGTCTTGTCTTTCCAGCTCAAATCATCAGATATTGAGAACAATTTCTGTTTGTGAATCTGTGACCATCTTTGAAACTCCAGAGCTCCGCTTGGATCAGTCTGCCAATACGTTTAGGTTTTATGCTTCCACTTGTGAAACCTGCTCAATCCGTGATGAAAGTTCAATGCAAATAACTTCTATAAATAAGTATTTTAAGTGTTTTGTTCTATACTATTGGGATATGCAGCTCAGAAAATATCACTAGCTGACTTCTGCATTCTCAGCTTTTTTGTAAATGTTTGTGAATAATTGAACTCACCCATAATGATCAATGATTCTTTGATCTACTTGTCCAAAATTGCAGATTGCACAAAGAGGAATAGCTAGAATGCTATTTTTTGTTGTCGTTTCTAGGTTGTGGAGAGGCTGAGGAGGACAAGCACCGAGCAGGTTTCTCCCTCTCTGGCCTGTGCCGGCCCAGAGGACGTAGCCTGTGATTTCTGCTCCAGCGCCAGAAGAAACAAAGCCACCATGTCTTGTCTGACGTGTTTAGCGTCTTACTGTCCCGCTCACCTCGAGCCTCACCACAGAGTTCCCGTGTTTAAGACGCACCAGCTGGTCTCAGCTTCGTCCCCACTGCAGGACAAGATGTGCAAGACGCACCACAAGCTGATGGAGGTCTACTGTGAGACAGACAGGATGTGCATCTGCTATCTGTGCACTGTAGATGCACACAGGCAGCACAGAATATGGTCGGCTGCAGCGAAAAGGGCTTATGAACAGGTAGAGAACGGCAGAAACGTGGTGGAGCAGAGGCAACAGCAGTCATTCTCTGGAAATGTGACTTAAACATTCACAATGATGCAACAATTTCTTTCAGAGACAACTGATTGTGAATCAAAAAGCAGTGCAAGCGAGATTCCAGGAGAGAGAAATGGAGCGGAGCAAGTTGGTCCAAGCGATGAAGGACTTTAAGGTTTGGAAATGAGGCTTGAGGACATCTGTCTGTTGAGATGTCTGCAGGATGTTCTCTACCACAGATGATGATATGAGGCAGTGTGAGCTCGTAAATTGGGTTGATCAGTTTTATTGTGACTTTTATAAATGTTACTGGCAGTATTTCACACTAACAAAACATAAATCCGTTTGACAGTGATAAAAGGTTCTAATCCCGCATTCTCATGTTTTAATACATTCTTTTGTTGTATGTACCGACAGAGGTATTTTGCCTATGTTCTGAAGTACTTACTTGTAGAACCACGACAGACACATGCATTTATCTGTACGTCACCAATCAATCATGATCACGACAAATTAATTTCAAAATAAATCTGAACCAAAGTGAGCAAAACCTCTCAATGTCTTCCTGTAAACAGAGTGGTTGCCAAACTGCAGTAAAGTCCATTGATGACATCTCTGATGAGCTGGTCTCTGAAATAGAGACAACTTGCATTTCAGTAAATACGCTCCTCAAAGTCCAGGAGAAAAAGGCCATAGCGAGTGCCGAAGGTCTGCAGCTGCAGCTGGAGAAGGAGATCACCAAGCTTAGGAGAAGAGACAAAGACCTGGAACGGCTTTCTCATACGGACGACCACGTTCATTTCATTAAGGTACCAGACGTTTGTTAGCGTGGTGCAGATCTACATCGTCTTTCTGTTTCTTTCATAATTCTGCCATATTTGTGTAATTTTTAGCTTATGCCAGTGTTTTATTTGGAGTTACAAATGGACTTTTAAAAGCTTTTAAAACTGAAGTGTCATCTAAGCAGTTCTGATAGTAAGGGGGCTTTTTCCAGAGTGTTGGGGCTAAAACAGCAAACACATACGTGAAAAAAGCAAACATGCAGTATTTGCAGGATATTGGAAGCCATCCAGTCCTTAATGGCCGTGAAGCAGTAACACAGATTATCCAGATTGTCACGGTTTTTATGACTAAGTGAGACGTACACCTGGGAGTCTTGGCAAAACAGTGTTAGGACATGGGGATAAAATATCAAGTAACATAGCCAGAGGGTATATATAAGTTGAACAAAATAGTGCCAAGGACTGAGCCCTGTGGCATGCCATATCACATAAAGGCTGTTAAAAGACCTAAAGTGTTCAGCAGTAACTTTGATTCGATAAGATAAGTCACATTAAACCAGTGCAATGCTCACCATCTGTCACTGTAGAAACTAAAATGGATAGAAAACTCGTTAGGACAAAGCACATCTTACTACAGTGACCAACATCTGGCGACCAAACCTAGATTTATTATGTTAATTGACTGGTAATCTATCATTCTTTGGACCAAAAAGTAAAGACAAATGGAGACAAATTGCATTGTCACACAATTTTAATGACATTAACTATACAGTACAATGTTTTACAACAGGTGGACACAACAATGTTTTTACATACAGTTACACAGTCATGAACAAAAGTTTCCAAACACTTGCAAAAACCTTGCATACCATGGCAGTCTTTAGTGTGGCTCCAAGTGACTTTCTTGACTTGTTTTCAGGTCTTTGCTGAGCTCCTCTGATTTTCCTGCTGTAGTATTTGTAGCAGAGTCTGATGAGTGTATCAGATATTTAAATTGCCTTGTAGGAGTCACCAGCTGTAGTCACTCACAAGAAGTGAAGAGGCCACTCAGAAAATTTGATGAAGATTTTGTCATATTTCCAGAAGATCAATAATTCATATATGAAAGAACCTAAATGCAGGATTGTTTTTTTTTGTTGTTTTTTTTGTGACAAAGATGCATTTGAAATGAGTTTCCATCATGATTCCATCGTAGAAAATTCAGCGTTATATTAGTCACTGGAATCTCAAGACTTTACAAGTGTCTGCAAACTTTCACGCACTATAGTGAGTGAAAGGAACAGGAACAGGAAAATTATCACCTGCATAATATGGATAGTATACTATCCATATTAGTATAGTATACTATACTATAGTATACTATCCATATTATGCAGGTGATAATTTTCCTGTTCTTTGATTAAATCTTTTTTCTGGTGTCCATCTTACTGAATTCCCTCCAGACCTTCCAGTCTCTCTCCACCTCATGCGAGTCTCGAGACCTGCCACTCAGTGCTGTAGTTCTTCCCCGTCGTTCCATGGAAACAGTGACCGACCGCGTCTCTGAGCTGAGAGACGACATCAGGCGTCTGCTGAAGTCGGCATTGCCCAAGATCTCTGCAACAGGTACCCGAAAGAAATCTAAAAATCATGTTGTGGCTCTGGGCAGTAAGGTGGCTCGGTGGTCCACATCTCCTTCAACTGTAAGCTTTATTAACAAGAACATTTAGTGGTTTCAGTGGCTTTTCAGAACTGGGTATCTGAATGGGGCTGCAAGGTGGCGCAGTGGTTAGCATCGTTGCCTCACAGCTAGAAGGTCGCCGGGATCTTTCTGTGTGGAGTTTGCATGTTCTCCCCGTGCAGCGTGGGTTCTCTCCGGGTTCTCCGGCTTCCTCCCACAAAGTCCAAAAACATGTTGAGGTTAATTGGTGATTCTAAATAGTCTGTAGGTGTGAATGTGAGTGTGCTTGGTTGTCTGTCTCTAAGTGTAGCCCTGTGAGAGACTGGTGACCTGTCCAGGGTGTCCCCTGCCTTCGTCCTAAGTTGGCTGGGATAGACTGCAGCCCCCTGCGACCCTAGTGAGGACTAAGCAGTGTATAGATCATGGATGGATGGATGGATAGATATTGTGGTTCTTGTGCAGTGTTCTTATTCAGATTTGCCAGTTTACACTTGCTGAAATGAGTCGATTCAACAGTCCTGCAGCAAATCCTGCTTTCTTGAAGGGTATGAAATGTACTGGTGGTCATGATGTTTTTCTTTTGTTAGTGTCTGCTATTGATGTTGTACTGCCACCTGAGCCAAAGACCAGAGGAGAGTTTCTATGTTGTGAGTTCAACATTTAATAATCTATTTCATACTATACACATTCACTGACAATGAAAGGGTTAATGGTTGATTTTGACTTATATTCCTGCTCTGCTTCTCCTTCAGATTACTCTGCTCTAACACTGGATGCCAACTCAGTCTCCCAAATGTTTTCTCTTTCACAAGAATATCGGCGGGTGACGAGTCATTACTCTAGTCAATATCACGCCTCTCACCCAGACAGATTTAACAGTGCCAGGCAGGTGCTGTGCAGGGAGGCTTTGTCAGAGCGATGTTACTGGGAGGTCAGTTGGAGTGGTTGTACTTGGTCAGTGGCGGTGTCTTACAAAGACATCAGCAGAACATCATCCCAGTTTGGAGACAATAACAAATCATGGAGTTTAGAGTGCTCCTCAGGCGGCTATACCTTCCGACACAACAGCAGAAGCGTGGCAGTGTCAGGCCCTAAATCCAACAGAGTCGGAGTGTACCTGAATTATAAGGCGGGTACTCTGTCGTTTTACAGCATCTCTGACTCGATGACTCTGCTCCACAAGGAGAAAACCACATTCACTCAGCCTCTCTATCCTGGCCTCGGGCTGAAGAGTTGCACCTGCTATAGGTGTCATGCAGAGGTGATGAAGTTATGGTAGGAAGACTTACACTGGAGTACTGGAGATTCTACTGTATTGTACCATCCATTATAACTGGATGTCTGGTGCTAGATTAGAGGGTTCGTGGGTGTGAAGAGCCAATTTTCTCTGCAGTGTTCACAAGAGATGATGAAAAAATAGCATTTTTTTGTGGCTAGAGCTTGTTTATCGTTGATATTATGTAAGTAGGATGTAACGTGTTGAGCAACAGCTTTTAAAAGCCAAGTACTGTCCTGTTAGAAGTGACTTCCTGTCATCGCAGTTCTAGCGGATTTATGAGTGTGTTTTTGCAGAGTTATTTGTTTACACATCATTCGTTTGAGTTTCTGGTCAACATTCACCTTATTGTAGCTCTTTTTGTGACCTTTACTAACTCCTGTGGGATTTGCAGCGTCTGGTTGCTAAAAGCCGTCTGTTGGTTAGTGCAGAGCAGCGTTCAAAATGTTCACTTTTGCAATGTCTCGCAGGGTGTTGTGACCCTGGATTGCCAACTCCTTTGGTATTCTTACCTTCTTAAAATGGGTAATTGGGAATTTGTGACACTTGATGTCAAGCAGTGATTTGTTATAAAGTACTTTAACGCCATATTTGCTTTGTTTTCGTGTGTTGGACTGTAATTTTGTTGTTGTTTGGTTCTGAATAATGCACTGAAAAAGTGTTAAGTTTAATAAAGAAATCCATACTTGCATCGTTATTTGATTTTTGGCAGAACATTTATGGGCAGAAAGTGTCTTTTGCAGCTTCCTGTCTTCAGCAGTGTGTCCTATGCAGTGTTGAATTCTGTGTAGTTTGCACATAGTGTCTCAGATGGCACGCTTATTTTTCTGTCTGAATTCTCTATGTTGAAATATGTGATTATTTAAGGGTGTAATAGATCTTACTGGGCATTAAGTGAGTTCATTCATTTGCCAGCTCACACTTGCTGAAGTGAGCCGACACAACAGTCCTGCAGCAAATCCTGCTCTCCTGAAGGGAATGATGTGCCTCCAGGTGCTCCACAAACTGTCCATCACCACTAGAGGGCACCTGTATCCCAGGTAGTCTCTTCCTGCTTTCTCCTGTTTCTCTTCTAAACAGCTCAGATAACATGTGAGTCACTGCACACCTATGTCACCACAGTCGCAACACAAACAGCAAGGTTTGGTGTGGAAAATAACTATGCAGTAAACAATATAGCTTTTATCAACATGGAATTTATTCATTTCTTCTTGGCCAGATTTAGAAAAAAAAAAAAAAGTCAGCAAGAGAAAAAGACATTTGCTATGTTGTGTGTCATGCATGTTACAGAATGTTAAATTCAGTTTGTGTTGTTAGGTTAGTGCTTTCCTTCTTCGCCATTAGTCGTTTAAAAAAAATTTCAAAAACGCACATTTGCATCTGTACTGTCACTGAAGAGTTGACAAGCTGCTGGTGAAAAGACTGCAGCCTTTGTAGAGGTCATACTGTGGTTCTTGGGACACAACAAAAATGAATTAGATGGAGAAAGGCAAAGTGGAGTTTAAAAAAGATCTTAACATCTATATTCATGGAATAGGTGTTTAGTGATCCTGCTTTAGTGTGGCTGGGGTGAAATAAGTTATTTAATTTTTGCTCTTGGAAGCTTCCCACTGTGCTTCTGAGGAGATGAAGCGTTCTAGAAAATGGCAAAATAAGTGCTCTGGCATTTCTTCTCTGTATATGTCAATAAGGCTTGGTCAGTTGTTGTTGTTGTTTTTTACATGGGACTTAAGTGATTGGAGATCAGACATACCTGAACCAGATTCACTGTGAGCAAAGTGCACTGGACCATAATTAATCATCAACCAATTAAACCTTAACCTTTAGTTCCTACGAGCAGCCTTACTGCTGTTCAAAACACACAGTGAAAGGTGTTTTACATTTACCTTTGAGTTTGTTTTCAAGAAATATATATGCAAACACAACAATAATAATTATATACGACAAGATCAGATCTTTTTTTTTGCAATAAATATTAATATTGTAAATTCACTTCATTTTAAATGACTTTACTGAACTCAACTAATGCGTTCACTATCTTGACGTTATATTGCAAATCCACATTTATGCACAGACAATAATGAGTGAAGTAAAAGTACTTTGTTAATATTAAAGGACTTTAAAGTAACAATGCATCCAAAACCCTGACATAATAATAATACAATTCTAAATGTATGCACAAATTAAAATAAATAATACAAATGTGCTCTTTTAATTTGAAGTGACTATAACTAACAGCACTAATGCATCCACAATCATGACATTATAATATTACAAATCTTAATTTATGCACAAACAATAATACATAGATGGATGTTTTTAATGATTTAAAATAGCTTTAGCTAACATCACTAATGCAGCCACTATTTTGACATACTACAAACTCAAATTTATGCAAAAATAATAATAAATCATTTGCATTTATTTCACTAATTTGAAATACTAAAATTAACATAACTAATGCATCCAAAGCCTAGACATAATTTTTAAAAAATCAACATTTTTCAGTCATAATAATTGTAGTCAAAAATATAAATTTACTGTATTATCTTAAATTGCTTTACTAACTAATTAAGGATCTTGACACCTTTCATCAGCTGCAGGAGCTTTGCAACTTTTAACTGTTTGGACTTTTTAGAATTCAATTAAAGGAGTTTTGTCTGCTCCTCCGGAGTGAACAGTGGCGGCCTGCATGGATCATACGAGCGGATGGCGCCCTCTGCTGGCAGCCTGCGGAACATCCAGGGCCGCCTGTTGTTGCTGCTGATAGGCTGCACTCTCAGGACCGCAGCCTCTTCTACAGCCAGGTGACACAAACACCAGTGACTTGTCGGTGGTTCCTGAGAGCTCGCAACACACACACACACACACACACACACACACACACACACACACACACACACACACACACTCATACTACTGCAGCAGAGTCCATTATTATTTTATCTGTTAATACGTATGTTAATTACACCATTTGCAAATTTTAGCAACCAAGTTATTATCATTGTAATAAGTAGTATTTTGCTCTATTTGGATTGGGGGGGGGGGGGTAAACTGGTAGGTACTTGGACATGAAGTAGTACTTTGGCTCAAGCTTTTAAATTATATTTTGGGAGAAATCGTCCTTTAGAACGTCGTCGTGCATTTTGGTGATCATTCGTTGTGGTGGGTGGCGCTGTCGTGAACACAGGCTGTCAACGTGCGGCTGTAGAAGAAGCTGCGGCTCTGGGTGGGAGCGCACCCTGCAGACGCACCCTTCTCGCTCAGTCAGCCGGACGGAGGCTCGTCCTGCTCGGTCACAGCTTCTCCTCGCAGCACTGGACGCTGCGTATGTCACCCCCAGCAGCGCCATGGCCGACATTTACCGATTCCCCGTTTACTTTGAGAGTCCCGGCCTTGTCAGAGAGCAGGAGAAGAAAATAGAGCAATATTTCCGTGTTCGACGCAAATCAGGCGGCGGAGAGTGCGGACCGCTGAGCAGAGTGGCGCAGAACGTCTACAGCATTGCTTTCAGGTATCAGAAAGGTAAGTCATGAAAACACCTAACATAACTCAGCAACTCAGGTTTGAAGTGATTTGGCACCGTGTGTTTCGCGTTTATTTTGCCTCACTTGTACCACGAAACAGCCATCAATGTGACATGGGTTAATAATAATGTCACTGATATCTTGTGTTGGGAATTTGATGAAAAACATCCCACTGGTTTAGAGTTCCTACACAAACAAAGCACTTTTTTTATATCTTGTTCACTACAAATCTTCTGTTTTGTCTTCACCAAGAACAAAACCCAAATAGAAAAATGGGCAAAAAAAAAACAAAATAAAAGTACAAATAAACATATTACAAGATTGCCTCCCTCCCACTACTTTAAACACACTTAACTTAAGAGCTTTCTTGTCTTTAAAAACTTTCAGGGACTCGCTCAGAGCTACTAATTTATTATTTTAGTTGTCAAAAGTTGTCTTTAAGTAGCCACTTGTATGTGTTTAGAAATGACTTTCCAGGAAACTGAAACTTAGAGCAACAACTTTTCCGGAGCAACAGCGGCCTCTGTGGCCATAGGTGGTGATTACAGGGTTACATTGTGGGGGTCTCATAAGGATACAAGCGTTGGGAACCAAAATGAACTACATCTCCTGAAAAATAACTCATCTCATGCATCAAAATGACTAAATCTAATTCATGAAGGTTATATGTCTTATCGTAGCTCACAGGATAACTACAGAAGAGATAATTAATTGATTTATGATTATAACTGACTATAATTTTAAAAGGATGCCAAGTACATGCAGCCTAAATATTGGGAAAAAATACAATGGTATTGTATATTTTCCAATGACTCCTACAGCTTTTAGTTTTTCTATAATAGAATCATTGAAACACAGGCGTCTTTGTCATAAAATACAATTATGCATTTTAGTTCTTTTATAGGTTTATTATAGTCATAGTATAGTGGTGGTGGCAGTATTATGCTCTGGGGCTGTTTTGGTGTCAGTGGAACTGGTGCTTTACACAAAGTACATAGAATGATAAAGGAAAACCTAAAATTATCAGCCAGAAGGTTGATCTTGAATTAAATTGGATGTTCCGACAAGACAATGACCCCAAACACACACCAAAATATTTAAAATATTTAAAAAATGACTAAGTGAGGCTTAGACTGGCCTCCCCACAGTCCTGACTTGAACCCCATCGAGAACCTGCTGACTGTGATGCAGAAACAAGTCTGTGTAAGAAGGCAACAGATTTAGTTGAACTGCACCAATTCTGTAGTGAAGAGTGGTCAAAGATAAAACCAGAAGCTTGTGGTCAGCTACCAGAAGTTCCTAATAGGTGTGAAAATGGCCAAAGGACATTTGCACAATATTAGCATTGTTGTATGTATAATTTTGACCCAGCAGATGTCGCCAAAGATGTATGGGTTTTAGTAATTTCATTTTAGAACATCAAGGAGTTTTTGGAAGCTCAAGGCTACCATGGTCTTCACAAGTGTATGGAAGCTTTTGTTCTTGACTGTAGGTCATATGTAAACTCACAATAACAGTTGTTCTCTCTCAGATCAGCAGACAGTCCTTCAGAGATCGGGGCATGTTGTGGAACTTCCGGGTGGGCGTCTGGAGTTCACTGTGCGAGGCAGCCTGGAAGCTCACGCCTCATTGGACGTCAGCGCATCCGAAGCTCCAGCAGAGGTTAGCACAACATGTCTGTCATTTGGTCAAGCTTTTGTAATCAGAAAATCCATTAACAGATAAAAAGTTACGTACAAAACCAGTGATGCTGTATGTGGTGTATCTGAGACCAGTAAAGGGAGATCAGTAAACCGCTATTATCTGCATGTCTTTTCAACACAGAGCCCTCAGTCCATTCCTACCTCAACTCTTGTACCAAGGGGTGAAGAACTCCAGATTGACAGTGATCTCAGTGAGAAAGAGCACGCCTCTTTGGCCTGTTCTGCTCGGCTTTACCCAGAAGAAGGCAGGGCTTTGTTCAGGAGGTCAGCGCAGCCAGGTGATGTAGATGAAGTTAGTGACTGGAAACTTAAAGAAGACAAAAATGACGACTCTGAGGTGGAGTCTTACTGCTCTGGTCAGACCACAGATGAGAGGGAAGCGTACAGCGAGGCTGGGGAATGTTCTCAGGTGAACTCTAGGTTGTTGGATGAAGAGTACAGGTCAAGTGAGAATTTGGCCTCTTTGACTTTGAGTGAAGGAACCACACCCGTTGCGTGCTACAGCCTTCAGGATGGGCTCCAGGTGCTGGTGTATGAAGGGGACATCACCAAACAATGCGCCGATGCCCTGGTGAACGCTGCCAACGAGGATCTGGACCACCGTGGAGGCATCGCTGCTGCACTGAGTAAAGCAGGTGGTCCTGAAGTGCAGGAGGAGAGCAGTACCTTAGTAAAGTACATGGGCAAAGTTTCCCCGGGTGATGTCGTAGTGACCACAGGGGGCAACTTAAACTGCAAAAAACTCCTCCATGCTGTTGGGCCTGTAGGTGGAAAAGCATATGGCAGAGAGAAGATCCTACTGGAGAAAGCTGTGCGTTCTGCTCTGAATTTATCAGAAATGATGGAGTTCCAGTCCATAGCTATTCCTTGTATCAGCTCAGGTGTGTTCGGTGTTCCTGTCACTGTGTGCTCTGAGGCTATCGTAACTGCTGTCAGGAAGTTTGGTAGTCAGGGAGGGCGAAGTCTGAGCAAGATAATCCTGATTGATAACAGAGGAGAGGTGGTGAGGGCCATGAAGGAAGCATGTGACAGGCTTCTCCAAGGGGTGAGTAGCGGAAGCAGCACCGCACCGGATGTGGAGCTCCAGAGGGATGCTGCTGACCAAGACTCAGCAACAGGAGCCACAACAGGAGCCACAGCCAGAGCTCGTGGAGGCAGCGTCCGGGTAGAGATCGTTCAGGGAACCATCGAGACCCAGCAGGTGAGAAAGTTGGGATAATAAATGATTTTTCTTACCTACGTGATGTGGTAACAGTTCAATAATCAGGAGGAGCAACAAAAATGCTGCTGTCTCCAAGATCCTCAGCTGCATTTTTGGCCTCAAGTGTAGCCTTAATAATGTACATTCATCTATTAGGATCAGGTTTCATTAAATGCAATATGTAGAGCTTGAAATGCAGCATCATACAGCGCATTAGCAGCTGTGGATCAAATTGAAGAGGTTTTGCCTTGTGACGAACCCAGAGAGAATCCAACCGTGCAGTTCCTGTCAGCACTGTGGAACATTTCATTGTTCCTGTTCACTCTTTTCTTAGTTCTCTCTCATAACCATTGTTTCAAGATTCAGAATGAAAGGCGTGTGCTGCTCCCCGTTCAGAATCAAATATCACTCATAGTGGAGCCTTTAGCAGCTAAACAAAGCTACATGTTTACCTTACAGATTGCTGTAAAACGAAACTGAAAGCAGCTTAAATGTAGGACATCTATTCAACAGGTGGCTCTGAATGACATACTGGTGTTGTGTATCTGCACACCTTTGCTGTGTTGTGTTGTTAAGAAGAATATGTCTGTAACTGAGTATGTCTTTCTGGGTTTGGTGCATTCAGATACCCAGCTCTGAAAATCCACTGAAACCACTAAATGTTCTTGTCAATAAAGTTTACAGTTGATGTGGACCTGGTATGTTTTTATTTATCAGTAAACAGACCAATCGTGCTCCCACACCTCCCACTCTTCTCTTAGGTGGACGCCCTCGTATCCCCTATGGTCGGCCACGATCCTCTCTCCACCCGTGTTGGAAACGCTTTGTGCGAGAGGTTTGGTTCTGAGTTGACTGCACGGTTTAGAGAAGAATCAGGGGAGGAGGCGTTGCCGAGTGACGCGGTTCTGGTGGAAGGCTTTCCTGGACAGCTTTCCAACGCGGTGTTCTTCGTCAGTCTTGCTCCTTGGAATGATGACGAAAATGGAACCGCAGTTGAGGCGAGTGTTTGTCACCAGTCTGTCTTTGTGGGAGAACAGCTTGTCTGAAATCATTCGCCATAGAACGGATGTTTACCCTCTAAAATGACTGGATTCTGTTATTTCACAGATTCTTAGAGCGGGCATCAGCAGAATCCTAACTTTATGTGAGGACAGAGGGTTTGGTTCCGTCGCTTTTCCTGCACTCGGAGTCGGGATTGCCCTGCGTTTTCCTCACAGTGTGGTAGCCAGAGTTTTACTGGAGGAAATCCGTGCATTTGAAGCGGACCGAGCCAGCACCATGCCGTTCCTGGTCCGCATTGTCATCCACCCCAGTGATGAAGAGTGCAGTGAGGTAGAGAAAACGCATTGTGCTGTAGACTATTCACAGTTTAGCTGGTAGAGTCCAGTCTTCCAGACATGGAAGCTCTCTCTGAACACAACAATAAACACATCAGCAAATTTCTTGTTCCGCATCAGATGAATTGAAATTGGTGTTGAAATCTGTTCTTTTTGTCTGTGCAGGCCTTCAAGTCTGTCCAGGAAGCTTTGAAATGGGAAAAATTCACTGAAGATGCTCAACAACAAGCCCAAGATCAAGGTAGGGATAGATGTTCCAGACTTGAACGAATTAGAATTCAGACCTGTGGCAGCAAATGTTCTCTGTTAAGTAAAGATATTATTAGATATGTTGTCACCACGTGTCAAAAAGCATGCCAGAATTACAGTAGCTTTTATTTCACACCTGACTAGACACAGATTAGTTCCTGGTTTGTTAGTTCCTAGTCCTGAATGTCCCCTGTGGGAACCAATAAAGTATTATCTTATGTAATGTTAGTCACAAACAGAGCGCTAACTGGCTCCTGCAATAAGGGTTACTTAAGGTCAGTTTGTTGTGTTCACTGTCACAGAAGAGAAATGAAGAGTTCCTGCAAATGATTTTACGAGATATTATCTGAAATTTAACAATAAAGGTAAAATCTGTAAAATAACAGTTACAGTTTTTTCTTTTCGTCCTTAATATACATGTTTTTTTCTCTTCAATAACAGCAAATATCTTTAAAATATTTATACTTGATCCTGATTTAAATACATTTTTAAAAAACTGTAAATGAATTCTTCATTTCTGTGATTTTACTAGTTACTGTCTGTAATTTAACAAAACTGGCAAAATCTGTAAAATAACAGTAAATAGTTCAAAAGCTTTTCTTTTACGATGTCTTTTTCTGGAATGTTTTGTTTTCCTCTGCTGCCCGGATGCTTGGCTGTAATCTTTCTGTATCGTCCATGTGGAACCAGACTTGTTTAACTGGTTCCCGATGTGGAAACTCTGTATTTATCTGGGTCAAACTGCACACTGGTTACTGCTTCTGTGAGCTAAACAGAGTTTATTATTCTCCTCCAGCATCCACCACAAAGAGAATCGTCCTGCTGGGAAAAACTGGATCTGGGAAGAGCCACCTGGCTAACACTATATTTGGAGAGGATCTCTTCAAAACAAATCATTCGCCCAACTCCGGCACTAGCAAATGTCAAACAGAAACCAAAGATGTCAATGACAGAAGCGTCACTTTGATCGACACCCCTGGTTTCTTTGACACAGGAAGGCCTCAGGAGGACTTGAAGGCTGAGATACTGAGGTGTATCACAGAGTGCGCTCCTGGGCCTCACGCCTTTCTCATCGTGCTTAAAGTGGAGAAATACTCCGAGCACGAGCAGGCTGTCATCTCTAAAATCTGCCAGTATTTCTCTGAAGATGCTTTAAATTATGCCGTAGTTGTCTTCACTCACGGCAACCAGCTCCCCAAAGGGATGAAAATCGAAGAGTTTGTGAGTCAGAATGAGAATCTGAGTGATCTGGTGAAGAAGTGCGGCGGCCGGTGCCACGTCTTTGACAACAAACACTGGAACAACAAGCAGCAGAACAACTACAGGAGCAACCACTTCCAGCTGGAGGAGTTGCTCTGCACAGTAGACAAGATGGTGACGGAAAAAAACGGAGGGTGCTACACGAATGCAATGCTGAAAGATGTTGGGGCACAAATACAGAAACAGGAAGAGCACTTAAGACAGACGCTGGGAAACCTGCCACCGAAAGAGATCACAGAAAAGGCCAAAAGTCAAGTGTATCATAGATACTTGATTCAAATGGCGGGGATTGGAACGGGAGCTTTGTTGGGAGCTTTTTGTGGCATCGCAGCGATGATTGGATTAGTTATCACAGCGGTGAGAAACGTAGCGTTAATGAAGCTTATAAAAACAGTTCCAGGAGCAGTAGCAGGAGCAGATATGGTTGTCGTAGGTACTGCAGTGGTGGGTGTAAGTGCAGCAGCAGCAGGAGCAGTTTTAGGAGGCGTGATTGGAGGTAAAGCTGCTGAGGGAGCAGAGACGCCACTGGAGGCTGCAGAAAGGGCATTCGATGCCATCAGGGAATCAGGAGAATCAGCTCTGAAGCAGCTTAATTTGCCTTTCCGGTGAAAATCAGGAGTTTTACCTCTTTGGCATGGTGTTTTCTCTATATGCTGGAAGTCAGAAGAGAAATAAGCAGCCTGAGTATTTAGCCAGTGATGGATTCATACTTCTGGGGTTTCATATGATACAAACTCAGGGATCCTGTCCTGTCGTGTAGCAATAATCACTACTTTATGTCCCTCAGAATCCCAGTTTGAACTTCTGTGGCTGAACATTGCAGCATGCAATTGTGTAGCACAGAGAAGTTTTACAATATCGGTGCAGAGTCATAGGTGAGCTGGTGTGCTGGAGCTGCAGCGACTGTGGCAGGGTGTATAAAGCAACGCTGTAGGGTTACATCTAAGCCATATTAAGGTAGGAGGGGCTTAATTTACTCTTATTTAACACATAGATGAGTTTTTAATGAACAACCATAAGGGTGCTTTAAATGATAAGTTGTTAGGTTATAGTCTAACACGATGGGATATTCCAAATAAACTTCATTTTGCACTTTCTTGCGTTGTTGCCTTTTGGCGTCGTTACTATCTACATATCTAACTTTCATTTAGAGTCGGGTTTCAGGCCACCTGGTAAAGGTTTATCCAACATCTATTATTTAGCTGCTGGATGCTGCCCCACCTTCACGATTTGTGAACCACAGAACCAAAAATAAAGTGAGCTTGAAGAGGCTCAAAAGGCTCCGTGGGCGAAGTGCAGTGCAGGGTGTTGGTGCTTGTTTGTTCTGGTCACTTTATATATTTATTAAGATTGTGGAAAAAGTTGGTGCAACTAAAATCAAGAATGTTTGGGGCCAAGAATCACAACAGACTTAAACATTAGTGAAAACAATGGAGGCGAATGTTTGTGGAAGAAATGTCTTATCTCCTACTGTGTCTTATTTGTAAATGATGTAATATATCATAATGGTGGATGAATGCTGATTTAATATATTTACATGGTGATTTTGTGTTTTTTCACTCTCTTTATGTCCAACTTTCTCTAATTGTTGAGCAATAAACACCTTAAATCCTGCCCATTTGTCTGTCTTGTGTGAATATTTCAACAGTTGCAATAGGATTCTTATTCTCATGCTGCACCTGCGAGCTCTGATCAACAGGAGATGCCCTAATGCAGGAGATCAGATGCTGCTCTAAAGAATTTCCAACATCAAGAGAGTTTAAAATAACGGCATGCAAGAAACGTGAGATTGTGAAATCATCATTTGTTGGACGCAGCTATGGGAGAGTTTGTTCCACAGGGAGCTCATTGCTTCTGTGGCATCTAAAGATGGGAGTTTCACTTCAATCTAATCACAAAGTTCTTTTTTCTTTTAGCAATTTGGTTTGTCCTTATAGAATAACTCAATGAAAACCTTGGAAAAGTATGCAGATTTTTCTTAAAGCTCTGTCAAACAAACAATTGTGTTTTAATGTTTATTTATTTACCATGTTTTCTTTATTTCCTCACTTACAAAACTTGAAAACTTCACTGTATATATATGATGTTAATAAAAATAAAGTATGCATCACAATCTGAAAAAACATACGCAATGTGTAGTTAAGATAATAAAAGACAAAGTAAATAGAAGCAAAGAAATTAAAATAATTAAATATATATGTTAATTCTTTAAAAAGTCGCTTTGTGATTTATTGTTTCTCTGAGTTGATGCTACAGTCCGGTTGCCTTTATGTGATTAAATCAAATTATATATATATATATATATATATATATATATACACATACATACATACATACATACATATATATGTATGTATATATATATATATGTATGTATGTGTGTGTGTGTATATATATATATGTAGGATACAAAAGAAACATGAAGCAGTGGAATATTATTATAACTTAATAAATTATGTAAAATTCACTTGACTAATCTAAATCTTAATTACTCAAAATGAAAAATGTTTTGTAAATATGTATTTTTCTATAAAGTTGTCATATTAATATTTGAATCAGGTACATTTGCATAATGTATAGAATTAATCAGGCTGTACCATTAAACATAATATTTACATTACTTAGTTAGAGTTACATATTAAATATTACTGTCGGGTCTGACCTTAACATTCAAATCAGTCAGGTACATTTATAAAATATTGTACAGTCTCAACCTCAACTTTGCTTCATTGCTTCATTTGTTGTACTTGTATATATTCATACTGACACGTAGCATTTTGCACCTTCAGTGTTTCCTCTACTTTCATTTAGGAGCGGCGGGCCGCCATTCCTAAATCCTACCCGCTGCTCCTTCAAATATCTTTTTTTTTTGTATTTTTTTTATTTTTTTATTGTTGTTGCAAATACACCACCGCCGAATGTCTCCACCTGCACAGCAGAGTCCTGCACTGGGTCGGTGCTCCCGAGTCCAACTGTAAGGCTGTAAACTGCAATCTGCAGGACCTGCCAACGGCCGCTAACCAACTACCAGCAGTTCAACATCCGTCGCGCAGCGCTGCTCTGCGCTGCTCTGCTAACGTGCTAGCATTACACCATCTCTCATTCACATACATGGCGAGTCCCCAGCCTTTCTTCTCACCACTCTCCCTCCAGCTCCGGTCCGCTCTGAGGGTTCTGTTCTGTGAGTTCGTTCAGCCATGACTCCGTGAACAACATGAAGCTGCACTCCTGATACTCCCACTGCAGCCGGGTCAGCGCTGTTAGCCGTTAGCGGTTAGCCGTTAGCCGTTAGCTCTTCCAGGCCGTTAGGGAGAGACTTCCTCCAGCTCATCGGGGATGTCCGTTCTCTCCCACGACGGTGGCTTGGCCTGGCTCAGCGC